CGGCCAATTGGAAATTTTCAATATGAGGGTTTTTTAGAGCATTTCAACTATAAAGTCTCCGAAACATATAGAACTTGGTAAGGGAAAGACGGTAAAAAAGCAATGTGTCAAATATGTTTAAGAATAATAAGAAACGAACAAATGTGGTCTGAATTCAAAACAAAAAATTCGAACTCACTCATCATCGCGATGATATCGCGGCACATCATTAGGCATACTGCGGTACGCGAAGTCGTTCATCTGAAAATGATTCAATTAAATCGGCAACAACATTGACAAACATGAACTTTTAATTATGCATACAAGGAAGAAAATTGAGTCTATATGATTAGATAGAGAAAGAGTAAAGTATTAGAAGTGAAAAGTGCGAGTGACACCTCTCGTGGTGAACGGTCGTACTGATCCGGTGGTGGCCGTTCATAGTCGTGCCGCCGTTCAATCGGATGAGTTCTGCTCATCGCCTCAACTGTGATTGGTGCGACTGAGTTCGATGTTCGTCGAAGAATCTGAAACCTTACCCTTCAAGCAATAATCCGACATTTGCACACTCAACAAACACTTTCCACAACAACTAAGGGGAGAGAGGCCCTCAAATTTGCAGAAAGCTTGAGCAAAAAACATGTTTCAAACCTTAATCAAGCTGATTTCAAATAAGATCTAGCATTGGACACATAGCATTTTTGCATTACGCAATACTACACAATCTAGACGCAGTCGGAAGAGTTTCTTTACGCGCGCTCGGGCTAATAGCATCAACACCTGACATGTGCCGTTAATTGACAAGAGAAAAAGAATTGGGATGTTGTAATAAAGGTTTTAAAAGCTTGAAGTCCGTGGGAAGCAAAAAAGGACAGAAGAATCACTTGATTTACCTGATTCATAGTGACCTCCTCCGTTTTTTGAAAGGAGTAGGACCGTTGAGTGCGACGGTCAGGGATAGTTTGGCGATTATAGGTGCTGTAGGGATCATTTCGGCTTGGAAGCCTAAAATTGAAGTATTAATAAAAGATTATTTATCGGTAACTAACAAATAGACAGAAAATTATTAAAAATTTGTAACGTTTTTCAAAAAAAAAAAGAAGAGAAATTTGATTTTGACATTAACCATGTGCACTTACTGCGAATGGTTAACAAGTGCAGCATCACATTTCTGCACAACTTCCTTCTACAGCCCGCGAATATTACGTTTGTCTTTTTCGCATATGCGGCGAATCGCGCGT